AAGTAATATATTTCACTTACCCCGATTCTAACCCACTATTCCATAAATAATCACAAATTGCAACTTCGAGGTAATCAATTCCGCTTGGAATATCCACTTTTTCAACCTACAATTTTGCATACAAATTTTTGTTACAACAACATGATAAAGATCAAATTAAGTTTTCTTTTATTCAACTTACCTTCTGCTTCTTCTTCTGGGGTGCAGGACATTCCGAATCCAAATATGCATCTATAACACTCTTCGGTGTATAGATCACATCGACATCATTCCTCCTCATTTCCTCCATCTTTTCTTCTTCATATTTTTTCAGTTCATCGTATTTTTGCTCTACATAGCTCTTCATTTCTTTTATTTCACCCTTCAATTTTCCCCTTCATCCAAGTATTCATCAACCACCCCCTTCACCCCCGTAAGTTCACTCCTCAATTCAACAACCTCCTTCACCACTCCATCAATTTTTTCACCCGTCACCATCTTAAGTTCACCCCTCAACACCTCAACTTCTTTCACCACTTCACCCCTCAACACCTTAACTTCTTTCACCACTCCATCTATTTTTCCTTCCACTTCCCCTTATGCCTCTCAAGTGTTTTTTCGACTCTCTCAAGTGTCTCTTTGACTCTTGATTGTCTTTGCATGATATCAAATTAGATTTTTTTGATATCAGTTAATTCAGACATCAAAATGTCAAATTTACTCTGTTTTCCCTCACCATCATCCCCTATACCGTCATCCCCCAATACAACAATCTCTTCTTCCTTCTCCTCTGCCTCCTTTACCTCATTGCCAATAACCTTCAAAATTAAATTAAAATATTAAGACATTGATTATATTCTTAATATTATTTAATTACATTTATTACCCTTTCTTGCTTCCTCGGTGTATCCAACTTCAACTTCGCCATCACTCTAACCACCTCTTCCTTCCCCTATGCATGGATGCGTGCCACTCCGGTTCTTTCATAAACCGACAGTGCCTCACAGCCCGACCAAAAATCGAACAGTGCAACCTACATTTATAATAAAATTTATAATTTTATATAATAACTATACTATCATTTTATATAAAAAACAAAAATGTTTTTCAACTCATTTACCTTTAAGATTGCTATGCACCCTTTGAGGTATCTCTGTCTGCCCTTTTTAAAGGTGATTATTGATTCAATCAATCTCGAATGGACATATTCAGCCCAATTGAATTCACCCTTCAAGCCTTCATCGCAAATGAGCTTCATATAGTCCTTGTTCGTTGACGTATCACCCGTTGGACAAAGAAAGATCCCGACAAGGTACAATAGAACTCGGGCCTTCATCTCATCCCCCCGTAAGATCCACTTTTGATTTCCTCTTCAAGTTCAACATATATCACCTTCTGCTTCAAACTATATTTGAAGGCAAGTGCTTTCCAGTTCTTACTCTTAGAGACTTTTACAACACTTTAGCCTTCATTTCCTACTCCCAAGACGGCTACAGCACATGGGATCCCCAGAGGAAATGAAAAATCACCATATTTAGTAATACATTGTTCGACATCAAATTGCTCCATCAAGGATCGGCACAATTCCCTCTGAATAGGTTGATCCCTTACTATTACCAATAATCCAAACCCCATTTCTCCAAGCACATTCAACTAACCCTTCTCTTTAAGGTGTTTAATTAATGAATTCACCGTTTTAATGATGCACCTTATCGACACTTCCTACATTTTTTAACAATATATAATGTTATAGTTCTTATATATTTTGTATCAACGTATTTATAAGTTTAATGAATACTTTCTTTTTCATGTGCTTTCCTCTATTCTTTGTATTCTTCACTATCCATCTTTAACTGTGCGATGTAAGGTTCCTTATCAGCATCACTCATCGAATTCCATTTCTCCAACACATAATTTCTCACTTAATATTAAGCATAAACGTTTCTTAATCAATACATTAATGCTAAATAATACTCAATGTCAATTTCAATTTACATATCGAACCAATGTGTTCGTCACATTCCTTCATCCTTTGGCATTTGATCATACTGTCAATATTTAAAATTTGTAATCAATTTAAAGTTCTTAAATACTTTAATCCAATTACCATTTCAACAATAATAACAAAAAGACATTGATACTTACTAGAAGTACATATATCCACCCTTTGATTGCTTTCGAATCTAGGCCTCAATTTCAACGTCATCTTCACCACCAACAATTCCAAGATCCTTTGACTTCATTTTTTCTTCATATATCAGTTTACACAAATCAAATCAAATACAGGTTACATACACTTTATTCAATATACAAATATCGATAACTACTCTTGTAGTAAAACGGTTTCCTTCAAAAGAATTTGAATGGCCACTACAACAAGTGTCGACGCATTTATACAACCTACAATATCATTTTCTACCTATAATATTATAAACATGTATCTATATTTATTTTCTACCTATAATATTATATAATCGGTCTCAGATCCTTCTTGGCTTCGATTTGAAATCCCCAAACCAAACCCAAAAACCCTAATCCCTATTTCCTTCAAACGAATGAGAACACTCAATACTCCAAGTATCTGCACATTTATACAACATATAATATCATTTTCTACCTATAATATTTAATAAAAGTATCGATATTTATATTTTACCTAGAATATCACTTTCTACCTATAATCGGACTCAAATACTTCTTTACTCCAAAACCCTAAACAATACATAAAACCCCTATTTTCAATTACTGTAATAATAAAAAACTAGAGTTTCGACAACGTACTTTTCGATTCGACTGCATCAACAAACAAACAAACTTCGCTTTAGAAACGCCTTCTGAAATGCAGCAACAATTACGCTTCGATTTAAAAAACTCGTCCGTTCTATCTATTTTTCATAGGATATTTAAATATGCCCTTTATATTTTCACCACATATATTATTTATATTTAATCGATACAACTAACAAAGTGTCGATACTTTTATGTCAGGTGTCGATACTTTTGATAGTATAATTACCTCTTTTTTTGAAAGTATCGATAATTTATTACGCGTACTTATTAAAATATCAACACTTTCAATATATCTGGTAGCGCTTTACCGTTTTTGTCATTTCGAGACCAGTTTTGTCATATTTTTACTTGTTATATCGTTATGGATCGATACATTTTTATAAAGTATCGACACTTTATAGGCGCTAAAACTGCTTCTCTTTTAAATCCACAAAGTGTTGATACTTATATTAATGTATCGACACTTTCAATATATTCGATTGCTCTATACCGATTTTGTCATATTTTTACTTGTTATATCGTTGTGGATCGATACATTGTTATAAAGTATCGACACTTTATAGACTCTAAAATTGTTTCTCTTTTAAATTCACAAAGTGTCGATACTTATATTAAAGTATCGACACTTTCAATATATTTGGTCGCTCTACACCGATTTTCTCCTTTAGAGTCCGATTTTGCCATATTTTTACCTGTTATATCGTTGTGGATCGATACATTGTTATAAAGTATCGATACTTTATAAACACTAAAACTGCTTCTCTTTTAAATTCACAAAGTGTCGATACTTATATTAAAGTATCAACACTTTCAATATATCCGGTAGCGCTTTACCGGTTTTGTCTTTTCGAGACCGATTTTGTCATATTTTTATCTGTTATATTAATATGGATCGATATATTTTTATAAAGTATCGACATAAATCGACAAGCTAAGTTTATCAGTTGCCAAATTTTTTAATATTTCTTCATCATTTAGGCCTACTACATTATTATTACTCAATATTTCCAATAACGCTAAACCAAATTTATTAAATATATTTTAATATATCCGATAACGCCGTATATTAACCTGCCTTTTATGAGAGAATCCCATATTTTTTTCATAGTTTGGGCTCTTCGTTTTTTCATTCCTTTCGTCTTGGTTTAACTTGTGCCCTTTACGTCTGAATGTATTTTCAAAGACACTTTTTGCATTACGTGAATTTACTTTACGTGAAAAAAGAAGTATTAATTCAAAAAGTAATTTAAAATGAATGCTAGTTTTATATTAATTTTTATTTTGACGGTATTTAAGTAAAAAAATAAGGGTAAACTACATGTTTAGTATATAAATTATCAGTTTTAATCTGTTTCAGTATATAAACTTTCATTTTTTCAAAATCATACCTAACATTTGATTTTTATTTCATTTTAGTGTCATACTGTTAAAAACTTAACGGACGGGCTCACCGGTTACAACATCTACAGTTGTCGACCGTCGCGTCTACAGTTGTCGGTTGTCGAATCCGTCAATCGAAGAAGCCCAAACTTTTTAGCCCACACCTTTTCAATCCCTAAATGTTTAGTATGTAAATTATATGTTTTAATATGTTTTAGTATATAAACTTTCATTTTTTTCAAAATCATACCTAACATTTGATTTTTGTTTCATTTTAGTATCATGCCGTTAAAAATTTAACGGACGGGCCCACCGGTTACGACAGTCGCATCTACAGTTGTCGGTTGTCGAATCCGTCAATTGATGAAGCCCAAACTTTTCGATCCCTAAATGCAATTTCGACCTCCATTTTACAGGAAAACACCTTAATCTCCCCAAATCAATGATGAATTCTTCTATTTCTTCATCATTCAATCTCCATGATCATTGTTCAATGGGTCTGAAACTAGACTATGTTGGTCGACTCGTCATTCTCTTATGGTCCACTGTTCCAATTAGTTGTCCGTCCATTGGAGCTATGCCACGTCAGCTCGTCCGTTAAGTTTTAAGGACGGGTACGAACATAAAAAAACTAAATGTTAGGTATGATTTAAAAAAATGAAAGTTTAAGTATTAAAACATATCAAAACTGATAGTTTAGTTACTAAATGTGTAGTTTACCCAAAAACAATTGTGTCATTTTATATAGTTCGAAAATTAATTTATTAGGTTTATGGTATAGCACAAGTACCGATCAAGCAATTTAACCAGTACTAAAACGCACAAGAAGCTTCCAGAACAAGCAGACATCTCTTGTCTATCCTCTTCTAGATCCAAATCCAAACCCCATAATCAAAGCTTCTAATTTCATTTTACAATGGCCGATGAAGCAAAAGCGAAAGGCAACGCCGCCTTTTCTTCCGGCGATTTCAACACCGCCGTCAAACACTTCACTGACGCTATAAACCTTTCTCCGACCAACCACGTCCTTTACTCCAACCGCTCCGCCGCTTACGCTTCCCTCCATCAATACGATGTCGCATTATCCGACGCCAAGAAAACCGTCGATCTTAAACCGGACTGGTCGAAAGGTTACAGCAGGCTCGGCGCGGCTCACCTCGGTTTGCACCAATACCAAGAAGCTGTTTCGGCATACAAAAAGGGCCTTGAGATTGATCCTAATAATGAAGCATTGAAATCCGGCTTGGTTGATGCTCAATCGGCGGCGACAGCTTCGGCTTCTCGAGCTAGGTCAGCGCAGCCGCCGAACCCATTCGGTGACGCTTTTCAGGGGCCGGAGATGTGGGCTAAATTGACGGCGGATCCGACTACTAGGGCATTTTTACAGCAACCGGATTTTGTTAAAGCGATGCAGGAGATTCAGAGGAATCCTAGCAAATTGAATGAGCATTTGAAAGATCATAGAGTTATGCAAGCTCTGGGTGTTTTGTTGAATGTTAAGTTTGCACATGGTGGTGGGGATGACATGGAGGTTCCAGAGGCGGAGACACCTTCATCCTCGAAGCCTTCGCAATCTTCTAAGGAGGAGGCGAAGAAGCCGGAGCCTGTGCCTGAACCGGAACCGATGGAAATCACTGAAGAAGAGAAGAAGAAAGAGAAGAAGGAGAAAGCTTTGAAGGAAAAGGAAACTGGAAATGCTGCATACAAAAAGAAAGACTTTGAAACGGCTATTAAACATTACACAAAAGCAATGGAGATTGATGATGAAGATGTTTCATATATCACCAATCGAGCTGCTGTTTATTTGGAAATGGGAAAGGTATGGTTATTTACTACTATAAAATTTACTTATTGCTATGAACTTTATAAAAATGTCGAAATTGTTGGTTGATTAACATTCATACTGATATCATTTCAGATTATGGAATAATTAACGACTATATTTTACTTTAACGGAATGATTATCACTGTTACGTCCCTTCTGCTCTAAGATGTTTCCCTGTTTTTACAAGCACTCTAATAGTGGTTATAAAATTGCGTCTTGAATGGTTTGTTAGCATGATTATCGAGTATTATTTCACTACGGCATGATTGTGTATGTTGTCATTCATTGCTTAGTGTTCAGAATGTATCATATCTGCTTTTAAAAACTAAAATAATTACTTCTTTCAGTGTAATTATTGCTATGAACTTCATAAAAAATGTGGATTTTGTTGCTTGATTACATTCATGCTAATATCATTTCAGACTTCAAAGTATAAAATAATTAATGAATACATATTTACCTTTAACAGATTAATTTCACTTTTGGCTCTCTTCAGCTCTGTAAGATGATTCTCTGTTTTTACAAGCACTCTAATCGTGGTTTTATTATGTTCTGTCATGTGTTGCTAAGTGAGCAGAATGTATAAATCTGCTTAATTATGTTGGTATTGAGCATGAGTTTATACATGCACAAATACATTTTTTGTTCTTCAAAAGATAACATGAGGTGACAGTGGATGGGTGAGGAAAGGCCTAGCTCTTCCTCCTGAATAAGGATTTTCCTTATCCTCTTTCTGGCCACAAGAGATTTGAAATTTTTTGGTCTGGAAAGATGTCAAGTGCTATCATAATTAATTTATTATGTTTTGGCTCCCATAATTTTTACTGAACCTAATAAGATAATACTCCCATTTGTTCACTATAGGTTATATGCATATCTAACTTCAATCCCTTTTCTTGTTTTCGGTCCTTGTTGAGTGCAGTATGAGGACTGCATTAAGGATTGTGACAAGGCTGTTGAAAGAGGTAGAGAGCTTAGAGCAGATTATAAAATGATAGCGAAAGCTTTGACTAGGAAGGGAACTGCTTTTGTGAAGATGGCTAAATGCTCAAAGGATTATGAACCGGCTATTGAGACTTTCCAGAAAGCTCTTACAGAGCATCGCAATCCAGACACATTGAAGAAACTAAATGATGCTGAAAAGGCCAAGAAAGAATTAGAGCAGCAGGAATATTTTGATCCAAAGATAGCCGTTGAGGAGCGTGAGGAAGGTATTCATTAACAGTTTGCGTGTTGCATTCAGTGGTATCTTTATTGTTGTTTGTTCTTTTCTCTGCTTTGTGTGTCTTGCTACTGGTATTTCCTAGGTTATGCTGCATCTTGCTATCATATTCATTTAAGTTTGGTCCAAGTCTGTAATATTCATGTCGGAGTGGGCAAAAGTAGTAGTCCCCCTAACATGTTTATCTGTTGACTTATTGAATATAATTATATGCAGGGAATGAATGTTTCAAGCAGCAGAAGTATCCTGAGGCTGTGAAGCATTATACAGAGTCATTGAGAAGAAATCCCAAAGATCCGAAGGTGAGAAGTCTTATTCTGTTTTTGTTTGTTTGTTGGTAACAAATACATACAGGGTGGCATCATACGTACTGTTGAAATGCATTTTGGCACTGTCAGGCATACAGCAATAGAGCTGCATGCTACACAAAGTTGGGTGCTTTGCCCGATGGATTGAAAGATGCTGAGAAGTGCATCGAGCTTGATCCAACATTTTCTAAGGGTTACACAAGAAAGGGAGCTGTTCAGTTCTTCATGAAGGAGTATGACAAAGCTTTAGAAACATACCAGGAAGGGTTGAAACACGACCCCAATAACCAGGAATTGCTTGATGGTGTTAGAAGGTATGTGACTTTCTGCTTCAGATGTTCGGTTCCATGTTTGTTTTTTCTGCAGTGTCATATATAACCGTCTGTTTCCCTCAATCATTTTGCAGATGTGTAGAACAGATTAACAAAGCTAGTCGAGGTGATTTGAGTCCTGAAGAATTGAAGGAAAGACAGGTAAGTATTTCAATCTTCTTTTATGTTGTTTAAACTTACGCTTTAAAAGCTGTTTAGGAGACCACAATAATGTTATATCGGTGTAATGTTGCAGGCCAAAGCAATGCAAGATCCAGAAATCCAAAACATTCTCTCGGATCCAGTCATGAGACAGGTAATGACTGAAAATTCATTGGTTTTGCTGCGCATGACCTGTAGGTTGATTGGATTTGGGTTCTTTTTTGTTTATATAGTTTAGGGATAAATACCAAAACTAGACATGAACTTTGATTTTGACTCAATTATGTACATTTTAAAAAGTATATTAAATTTGATAGAAACAATTATTTGTGTTTGATAACAATTCTAGTAATTTATGAAAATCAAATGAAATCAAAAGTTGATGTATAGCATTGCACATTTGAGCAAAGTTGATTGCTGAGAAATGTTTGGGATGTGGGCAGGTGCTGGTTGATTTCGAGGAGAACCCAAAGGCAGCACAGGAGCACACAAAGAATCCTATGGTGATGAACAAGATTCAGAAGCTCATCTCTGCCGGTATTGTCCAGATGAGATAAATGTGACCCAAAACTCTTTTTTTCAGTAAATCTGTACTTTAAATCTGTACTTTAATTTGAATTCGAATGGATAAAAGTGGTTCGAGTTGGAATTTTTCAGTCAGTTTTGTTAAATTTTCCAAGCAAGTCAAGCTTGCAACTTTGTTTTGAGCAAATCAACATGAAACAATTAAGAATGTATTTTCATCTTTTAAAGTAATGTCTCGTATTATATCAATTTGGTTCTACTATGAAATGGATTAATTATGTCGAACACCTATTCACATGAATTTATCCAATTTGATTCACGATTGGAAGAGATCATTAACAGCGACGGTGTGTTCTCCGCCGGCAATCTGCTATTCTCATTTTAACCTTATGAAAATCCGAAATCCCACAAGGCAACGTGATCCCACCCAATTGATTCAACCCGTATACCTGCTCCGAATCCTTCAATAACTCTCCAAATAGCGGGTGATTTAAGCAGATACAGGCACTACCACCCTCCTCGTGTCGCCTTCTGATTCTCCCACGTACACGGCAAGATGCCCCTTTGGTACCCCAACTCTCTTGGTCCCCTCCTCACCAAATCGGATATAGCCGTTATCCGAATTAGAATCACAAAGCCAACATTGAAGAAACCGGCCGAAAGAGCGGATTTTGGAAAACGGGTTGTAGCTTGTCGTCGGATGTCCCAAGAAACCATCACCGAAATTTCTACTTCCCAGTCGGAGTATCCATTTGAAAACCTTCGGTAGCTTGAACCCTCTTAGCTTTCTTCATAATCCCTTATAGTTGAACGAAAAAGAATCAAACGGGTAGTGTTGAAATCTGAATTTGAGGAATGGGTTATCGTCGGAGGTATGAGAATCGCAGCAAAGAACGCCTCTGTTTTGACGTTCTATTCTACGAGAATTTTGAGTTTAGATAGGAGACGGAGAAATGTTTTATTTATTTATAGGAGACACTTTTGGTGTTGTCTCATTGTACAAAAATATCGTTTTTGGACGGTGCCGCTAACGGTCGCTCTATGGTGTCCAAAAGAGGGTCAAACCGTATAAAATGTGTGTTTTCGGATAATATCTTACTACATAAATTTTATATAATGTCAAATCTTTTATTAAATTCATTACATTAATCTTTTATAAGGAGAAGCGTTGTGTCGAATGAAAGTTGAGATACAACATTAAAATCCATCAAACGATATTAGTGATAAAAATGAAAATTATTCTTTTCAGTGATCTATGATTCGAACAATTATATCTATAGAGTGTGTACATATTGTCAATAATTAAAAAGATCATAAATAAATACTATCTTGTAATTATACAAACTCTTAAAAAAAGAAATTTAACACCAATCAAGATTAAAATAAATTTTTTTATTGATATATTGTAAATTTAGTTTGATTAATTTTAACTATTAAGTTTTAACAACTTTTTTTAAAAAATATTATGATATATCACGCATCGATCATGCAATATGAAATTTATAGACATTTTAAAAGAAAATTTTAAAAGAAACTACTATTAAAATTCTAAAATAATTTTTAAAAATTTATTCAATCGTGTGGAGACATGTGGTAGAAACTGATCTAAAGAAATTATATTAAATTTATCTATTAATATTGATCAAAGGAATAAATTGATAAAATTTTAAAAAAAAGTGTAAAAAAATTTAACGAGGGAAAAAGTACAAAGACCCAATTTTTTCCTCAAAAATTTAAAGGATTAAGTTAAAATATAAAAATAGTAATAATTTTGTATACATTTTAACGCAATTATAGTGTAAAATTAGAAAATGTGTTTGACCACGTTGAAAATGTGGCGTTAAGGAATAATGGACCACGAGTAAAAATTGATAAGATTCTTTGGAGGTCGATCTCTCAAGAGAACCACACGTTCTTTGGAGTATGTTGTTTCAAAATCAACACATGCACAATTAATTATAAACAAATCAAGCTAATGAATCTTTTTTATTATTATAATTTAATTTTAAATAATAAAATTCAAATTGAATCTAATAAACTTATTCTAGTTAAAAATTAAATAAAACATTCTTAAAAGTATGATCATATATCAAATTAGAACCAGAAAAATATTTAAGACCACTTATAATTAAAAATTCTTTTAAAATAAAATAAGACAAAAAGTAACATGATAAACTTAATTTGATAATTCATTTGTTACTATCTTGAATTTATCATTTTAAAAAGTAATTTTTATGCATTTTTAAAGAATTTTTAATATATATATATATATATATTGTAATTTTTGTTGAAAAAGACCTAATTGCATATTTTTACTACCCCTGATAGCCTGCATTGTGATGGACCGTATCAATCCAACGTTATTATTTTATGTTGTGCTACAATGGACCATTAGCCATCATTGATATATATATATATATATATATGCATGCGTGAACACGTAGATGTATGTTAAGAATGTATGCATGCATGAACATGTAGATGTATGCTAAGAGTGTATGCATGTATAAACATGTAGAGGTATGCTAGTGTATGCATGCATGGACACGTTGATGTATGTTAAGAGTGTAGTCATGCATGAACACGTAGATGTATGCTAGAGTAGTAGATGTATACTAGAGGGTATGCCTGCATGCATGAGAGAACTTCAACAAAGTCTGGAAAGATGCTGATATAAAATTGACCAAAAAATAATAATAATGGAACTGACCAAAACAACCCAATATTCATATCAACAATACTACAATTGCACATCTAAAAACATACAAACACAAACCTTACGTGTGAAGCAAGGTTTTCGGACAAGCACAAACCACTCGAAAAGAAAGGTACCTAGCGGGAAACGAGAAACAGTCTCGAGGCAATCATCAGCACGGAGAAGAACAGCTTCGATCTGATTGATGTAGCCAATGAGGTGACATCCTGCGGCCTGAAAAAGAAACCGAAGTAGAACCGTCACCCGTCGTCATTCATTCTTTTTAAAGCCTTTCAGAATGCGAAGGACTTGTTTTGCTTACTTTTGTAATTTGCTGAGAGAGCCGCAAAAGAGGGCATTGGCAGGCATAGGCAACTCGGTTTTGTTCGTAGCTTCGGGGTTGACAACCCTGACATACGTTTCTTGGCCAAGATACCATGAGTCGAGGTTTTCGGTTCTAATATTCCAGACTCCAACATTGTCGAGTGATATCAAGATTGCGGTCCAAGCACCTGGATAAACCTACAATGACCGAGACACGAGGGATCTCAGACCAAGGTTTGATGCTTAATGCATGAATATCACCACAAACAATAGTTGTCCGTAAACAAAATCAGGAATTAAAACTACCCGAAAAAACCGAAAACAACTTGCATATCAGAGTCTAAACAGTGTTCTTTACTAGATATTACCATGTCAAAGCACAAATAATATGAACTTTCAAAAGCCTTACCTGTGTTGTGGAGCGGGCAATCCCATCCCATTTATTATATGTGCCCCTGCTATTCTCCGACCACTCACCGTAATCCATTCTGCGACAACATAATGACAAGTTAGTGTTGAAAATCATAGTGCATAACGATGTGCTAACATACAGAGATGTGTTCGGGAAAACAGATTCCTACCCGACAACAAAAAACGCATATCCGCTCATGTGATAGGTATGCATCTTGGTGTCATTGTTCTGTAGGATGACTTCCATAAATCCCCTATATGTTCCGTTAATAACGGATGTTTCAATTTTAGGTGGCCCTGTAAGTGGTCTATTGGGAAAGTCTAGCTTATAAACTCCCATAAGCTTAAACTGGTCTGCAAGCCGGATTGGTGTAGCAGGATTGGCAAAGGATATCCCGCTGAGCGTTGCTCGTCTTTTCCCATCGATAGTCTCCGGTGGCTTGTTTCTCAAAACATAAATTTCAGTCACATTGATTGAACCGTATCTAAATGATCCCTGTGGGTTCGGGCGAGCACCACTGGCAGATACATTCCATCTGCATAATTTAACCACACAAAGTAAGAATACATAACCAAGTAAACTTAAAGACAAATTGTTTTTAACAAGATACCCATTACAAGCAAAAAACACGACGTGTGTGAGAAATGTGCTCATGCTTTTGAACCAGGAAGGAGAACGAACCTGATAGATCTAGCTTGGTTCATTGAAAAGGTTTTGTCGTATTCATCCTGCGGTGGGTCGGGGAGTGGACCAGCTGCTTTTCCTTTCGAATTAGAATAACGCAAAATGGCAACACCGGTAACTCGTTTCCACTGTGATTCATTCACAAACCTCGCACTTGCAACGATGTAGTAATCGCTACTAGCATTCTGATCCGTTGTAAGCAGAAACGAGTAAGACTGTCCTACATGTATGTCTAAGCTAGTGTAGTTCTGTTGCACCGTATATGATCCCTCAGTCTCCGCAAGAAGTAAATTATGGCTCTGAATCCTGAAATTCAAGGAGGTCGATATTCCCACATTGTGAACTCGAAGGCGGTAAGTTTTCCCTGCCAATGCATAAAATTTGAGGGTCAGTGTATCTTTAACTTGCCACTAAATAAGTATCCAATACTCCATTTTAGTCTCTAAAACGAAGCAATTGAACTAACATATTCAGAAATGAGTAGCAGTTAAGCTAATCATCATAAGTAAACAATGCCTTGTATGAAACAATCACCTGGATGGACGTTAATTGTTTCATAATCGATCCCATCAGGTACAAGAGTATCGTTATATCGGTAAGGTCCTTTGCCATTAATAAGAACACCATCCGGCATCCCTAGATCTTTTCCAGCATCAAGCGCCTTTCTCAAAACCTACAATCCACAAGGTATCCTCATTAGACACACCAACATTATATCCTACACCCCCCAAATCTTAAATCAAATACATATATACAATGATAACATTATACGAACCGTATGATTCCGTGTGTACCAATCACCAATCAAAATGGTAATATCCTCAACAGGGGTGTCGAAAGGAATAGGAATAATCTCTCTATTGTTGATAATAAAGCTACCAAAACCACCAGCCGCCCTTTGGAAATGCAGCGATGGGAAATAGAAGAAGCTCCCGATTTGGTCCTTAACTTGGAACTGATAAGTCCAATTCCACTTAGGCGGGATCGGACAATTAGTACCGAGCAGACCATCTTGCCATGAACTACGCCTCTGTTGAATCCCGGACCTAAAACAAAATGCCAAACATTCAACCAATCCATCCATCTTTGCATCTTGACATCACTCTAACAAACACAGACTGCAAAATTAAGTAAGATCCTACCAATGCATGAGTAAACTCTCGTCCAATTTGTTTCGAACATTGACGACGATGTTGTAGTTAGTAGTCGCATTGATGGTAGGGCCTGGAAACTTGTTATTTACAGCAATAATCTACAAAGTAACACAAGATAAAGCAACAATTAACACAGTTCAGATAGATCCACAACAACGTTACTCTCAAACCTCAAATAATTAAGCACATTTCCAAGCAAAAAGGAGCTACATTTTTTTTGTAGATCTGAAACTAAAAGTTTCTATTTATAGCAATAACCTACAAAGTAATGCAACATTACCCTAAACCTCACTTAACTAAACAAAGTTCAAGTAAAAAAGAAGCTACATTTTCTATCTTTTTTGTTAGATCTGGATCTAAAAGTTGAAGCTTTAAGCTGTTTAAAGGCAACCCATTTCTCAACCAAGAAAGTTGATAAAAAACAACATAAAATAAATGTGCTGAAAACAGTAGTGAAAACAGAGCATAGACCTGTTGGGGAACACCCAAAGGGGAAGCAGTGATGTAAGAGACCTCAAAATCGTAGGTAACAAAGGGATCCTCAGCAAAACACAAGCTTGAAAGCAGAGCAACGTGGAGAAGAAACAAACCCCAGAACCTACTCAAAGTCATGCTTCTCAAAAATAAATTCTCCTTGTTGGGATTTTTTTTGTCTTACAAAATTTGTTAGATAAAAAATATTTGTTCAAAAGTTGAAAACTTTGGCAGGGTTTTACATTATCTGGTAGGCAAAAGAGTAAAAGAAGGAGAAGGAGCCAGAGGGTCTAATCTAAAGATGGAAACTTTGAACAAGAGAGCAAAAGAATTTGTGCTTTACGAGTTGGATTTTTTTTAATTTAAAAAAAAAAAGCACTTTTGTTATGATTCAAATAATAATAAAAAACTCAAAAGCATTAGATTTGTCGGACGCTGGCCATCATTCAATTACAACTAAAGTGGAAGAGAGAGAAGCCGTGGGATCATAAAGGGGCAGATATTTGGAGAGGGAAACATTGGGTGACAGGCAGGCCGTGTAGCCAGCTCTCAGCTCAACATTTAAGTGACAAAAATGTCAATTTTTTTGTCTTTTATTAACGGTCTAATATTGCCCCCACTCTCTGTATTTCTCATATCTTTTAAATTTTGTCCATTTGCCTGTTAGTCTATGTTCGACATTTATAACTATTTTTTCTAATAATATCATCTTTAAAATTCAAACTTAAATTCTGTATTAGAGTGTGTATTATGCTTTACTCCTACACTTGACATTTGTTGGTGTGCATAGATAAATCGAGGGAGACGGGTGAGGGTAATCACTTTTCTATGTGTTTTCTATTAAAATTATATTTTCATCTCTCTTATAATTTTATAAATTCATTCTTTCTTAAAATTCTAAAATTTTACCTCCTAACATAAAATCTTGTGTCCGTCCATGTTGGTGCCATCCCTTTTCATTTCATGTCAAACTTGAATATATGTTATAGGTTGAAATTTATCTTTTTAATTAAAGCATTTAAATATCAAAGTGTTTCATATTCAAATCTAACATAAGTATATTAGTAATGTTAATAATTGGGATGAGCAAAGGGACTAAATTTCATGAATTAGAAAATGGAGACTAACTTTTAAACATTAGAAACGCACAGGGACTGCATGCAGAACTAAACCTTTATTAACAAAGCTTACGCGTTGTTAAACTTGTTCGTATGATAAAAGATTGCGAAGCACATGATCCCACGTGATCATTATTAAATGAAAATCAAAAGATTTGAAGTTAGTTAGAAAATGGCTGCTATTTTCCTCCCTAATAACCGCCTCATGTTTCGGTATTGACGGTTGGTTACAAGATTAATATATTTATCAACCACCACCAACCATATTTATTGGTGCAAACAGTAATGGATCAAGCGAGGGATAGGTCGTCTTTCTGAAATTTTTAATTTTTTTATATTTTAAATTATTTCTTTTAATTTTATTAATATTTCTTTTAATTTTCTTAAAATTTTATATGTTTATTCATCGAAGGTAAAATTCTACGCATTCTTAAATATAACGATCATTAATGGACTTGCGGTTGCATTTTGAAAACTTCAAATATGTCATATGTTTTAATGATTTATTTATACTTTTTAATAATAATTTAATTATGTATCTTAAAAAATTATAATTTTTAATATAATTTTTTAAAATTGTATATCCTTTATATAAAATTATATGTTTATTTTTACAAATAGTTTGATTAAAACCATAAATCACAAATTATTAAAAATGTGTTTGAGTGATAAAACTTTTAAAAATTTTTTATTTATTTAATTTATTTCGAACTTAATTTAATTATTAATCCATGAACAAATCTTAATCAATGTTCGAATTTGACAAGCTAATGAAATGTGACATTGTATTTGTACGTGTGTGATGCATACTCATAATTTTTTTTGAATATCTGATTATGTTTCTTAAAATATTAAATTCAAAATCAATTAGTCAAATAAAATTTTGTTTACCTTACAAATTTAACTTGGAGAGTGGATGTGACTCCCACTTCCACTTATCTGTGAAAATCGATTAACCAATTTAAATAGTTTTCCATAATCTATAACTTGGAGAGTGGAGCCTATCATTAATAAATTCCACGATTGGCTAGGCGGGTGGAAAGGTAAGTTGTTGTCGTTTGGTGGTAGAATCACATTGATAAAATCTCTACTATCGAATCTTCCCGTATTTTATTTGTCCTTATTCCAGATGCCTTCTTCGGTCGCTTCTCAATTAAACAAGTGCATTGCCAGTTTTATTTGGGGTGCTAACTCGGGTAGAGCTATCCACTGGGTGAAATGGGAGTGTATTTGCAAGCCTCGGCCGTTTGGCGGTTTGGGTTTCTTTGACCTGAGGATTAAGAACCGATCGTTGCTCAACAAATGGATTTGGAGGTTTGGTTGCGAACCTGACTGGTTGTGGAGAAAAGTCGTTGTGGCAAAGTACAACCTTGATCAGAATTCTTTAGTCCCTAAGGCTGTTCCGAATAGGAAGTTGTCTTGGGTTTGGAGAAATATATGCTCCCCCGTGGGGAAGGTGGATGATGTGCTAACCTCCAAGCTGCTGTGTGTTGTGGGTGATGGGCATTTGATCGACTTTTGGGAAGACCATTGGACTGCCGTTCCCTCGCTTGGAGAGGCGTTTCCTCGGATATTCAATATTGATGTTCGGAAAGAAAGAAAGGTCGCAGATTTTGGTCATAGGGCTAATGCTATCTGGGTTTGGAACATAGCTTAGACGATCCTTCTTTGATTGGGAGGTTAGTTTATGGTCTGAATTCGTTAACGTTTTAAACAATGCTGAGGGCAGTACAAATCTTGTTGATTGTGTCAAGTGGTCTGGTTCCCCTGATGGCCGATACACACCTGAGAGCTTCTGTTTGAACGTTGCTTGTGATGGCTCAATGGAGGATCGTGTTTGGAAGCTTGTCTGAGCTAATTTGGCCCCGCCTAAGGTGGAGGCATTTGTGTGGAGGTCTATCCTTCAACGAATTCCAGTTCTTTCGGAACTTTTAAGACGGGGTGTTTCGGGTGTGGAAAGTAATCTCTGTGTCTTTTGCAGGAAGGAACCGAAAACGGTTAATCATCTGTTTTGTTGCTGTGATATTATTTGGCAGGTATGGCAAAGGTGGTGCACATGTGGAGTATCTGTTTTTGTTTTTCCTGATAATGTTAAGTCATTGTTGCTTGTGTGGGATCAACAAAGGATCCGAAGAGATGCTAAACCTATTTGGAACTTGGGTTTCTTTGGTTTTTTGTGGTCAATTTGGATCTGTAGAAATGATATTTTATTTAGAAATTGTGGTGTTAGCGTGGATCGAAGTTTTTACTATGCCATGCTCAAAACAGGTTCTTGGTATTGGATATATGAACTGCAAAACTACACCGTTAGCATTGACTGGAAATATAAACAGTAATTAAAAGGAATAAATTCGTAAATCGTGTCGTGGTAAAAAACTACTGCCTTAGAAACGAATTCGTCCCGATGTGTGTAATCGCTGCAGTAGGCGGATCGTCCCCCGAGGTTAACACGGTCGTTCCGAATTCTGTACACCCGAAACCGGAGTGGACTGCTGGTGGTATTGCTCTTCTGATTGGAAAGCACTCAGAGAGAATTGTAGAAAACACTTTTGTAAGTGAATTGTGAATGTTTGAGAGTGAGTTGAGAAGCTGAATATAGCCCTCTATTTATAGGTTAGAAATAGGGTTATAATCGTCCATAAAATTTCAGGATTAAATCTCTTATTTTGTAACAGCTGAAACGTCTAGATGAACCTGACTCAAAAATAGTCCAGGTTCATTGCATCATTATTCAGCTGTTATAACTCTCGAAATTATATCATGTAACCCATGGAATTAAATCAAATAATTCATGTAACTCCTGATATTAACAGCTTGTCTCCTCTGTACAAAGCTGGAAATTAGTCCAGATACATCTTAATGTTTTTTATTTAATTTAGGAAAAACTGTTTAATTTATGATAACTCTCATAAACCAGTTGTTATCATTTGAAATTAAACAATCCTTAGTAGCCTATAAATATCAGTTGAAATCTTTCACATTTGTCCATTTGTTTCTTTCAAAGAGAAATTCCTCAAGAATTTTCTCTAAAAAGATAGTATCCGCGCGGATGTGTCGAAGACACGTATTACCACGACCACGAGCACGACCACGACCACGAGCCGAGCCGAGACGAGACGAGACGGACGGACGGCGGCGGCGGTGCGCGAGAGTCCCCCTTGTTCTCTATCACTCAACAAGGAAGTGAGAAAGCCAAGCCTTAAATACTATTCTCAATAGTGTTTCCAATACTATGTGGGATTGACCATTACCAACATTCCCCCACTAATGCGAAAGAAATCTTCTGAAACTCGAAAACAAACTTTCCAGAAGAGCAATAGTGAGATTAGTTGCTTAAGCACTAGTGAAAGTATCTGGAATTAGTACATAGTGATGATGAGCAATCCTTCTCTTAGCTAAGTGAAACTAGTCTGGAACTTTCTAAGATCAGGGTAAACTCATAACACACAACTAACCCCTTCATCCACCTGAGTCCTCGATGTGTAAGATATATATATACAAAGTATATATTTAGCCATCTTACCTCAGGATTCTAGTAAGTGTGCTAGAAAAATGGCCTAACATTTTTCATAGAAGATGGCTAACCCTTCTCACTTACATAGGTTATTTCATTAAGTTTATCTCAACATAAACCACCCTTTAAAAAGAGATATGAAATAATTAAGAGCTTTAGTAATAGCTCAACCTCACAAAGGGTATGGTGACTTTCTTCAAGTTCATTATTAATGAACCACCCAAACTCTGGGCTAAGAAGTCATTAAGAATAAATATTCAACCTCATTTATCGGTAAATTCAGTAAGTCCTTCTCACTAGAACCATCCAAATACTTGGATTTGAATTTATTAAGAGTTTAACAAACTCAACCTTTCTGTAGGTAAGTTCATCATTTCCTACTCACTCACTCTGGGTTATGAACTTATTAAGAATAGATATTCAGCCAAAATCGGTAAATTCATCAAGTCTTTCTCACTAAGACCACCCAAAGCCTGGGCTATTATTAAGAGCACTTAAGCTCATCCTGAGCATGCACATTATTCGTCATAGGGATAGGCAGTAGGAATGTGCACTATGAGTCTTTCCATGGTTTCGTTTGACCACATGGAACTTAGATAACTAAGTTGGGTATCCACCATTAATTCCTCAACCAATGGGCTTTAGACCCATCCCCCTCGACGAATCTAGGACCAGCTTCCGACTTA